ATGGTGATAAGATTTGTATGAGCCCCCAATAAAATGATTTATTAACTTTAAAATGATTAATTAATAAAATAAAAATTGTAAACTTGCATTGGTAAGGAAAAGGCTAGGAAAGTTTCACCAAGACATTATTTTTGTCCATCATTGTAATTCACTTGAGGGATTTCAAGGGTACAAAAGGCTGTCCCAGGAGAATTTTGTTGGAAATCCTTAGCCAATCCACTCTACAGCCCTGACCTTGCCCCTTCAGACTCCTTTGTGTTCCCCAAACGCAAAGCATATTTCAGAGGAGTAACCATGTGTGTCCCTTGAGGAGGCCCAGACTGTCATTTGGGTATGAGATCTAAATCACAGAGCTAAGAGCTCTTTGGAGATGGGCTAATGAGATGGAAACACGGACTTCAGAAGTGTACAGATCTGGATGAAGGATGTGTCAATATCATTAGCTTTATATTTTGGTATTTTTGTTTAATTGAGCCTCCTATGATTTTGTAGCAATACTTTGTTACTTACCCTCATATAGATGAATGTGTGTGTGTGTGTGTGTGTGTGTAAAGTCCTTGGGTGGTGTAAACCGTTGTGCTTGGCTGCAATCTAAAGGTCGGTGGGCAGGGTCACCAGCAGCCTCACAGAAGAAAGGCCTGGTGACCTGCTCCTGTAAAGGTCACAGCCAAGAAAACCCTGTGGAGCCCTTCTGCCCTCTCACACCGGGCGTCACTGGGAGCGGCAAGTCACCTGACAGCCATGTTTGGTTTGGTTACGTATTCTGAAGGGCCACGCCACACTCAAAAAGTTCACTTGAGTGTGAACTGTTAGATAACTAAAAGTTATCTCAAACTTAGATAACTAAAATCAACATTTAATTTTCGAATGTTTGGTTGAATGAAATGAAGAAAAAATAAAAATAAGAATCAATCAAAGTCATAGCTCCCCACCCCCACCCCCACCCCAAGGCATTTTCAGAAATCTAAGAACAGATTTCAGAAGTTACAAACTGGGTTTATCTGCTGCTCAGAATTGATGTTGTTCAGATCTCAGAGGCTACAGTTACCAATCAATGAGTTTAAGAATACTTTCCCCTTGACCCAGTTTGGCCTTAGGCTGCAAACAGCTCCGGCAGGTACTCACGGCCACAGTAGACATGGAAGCAGACACTGGGCTTAGTCAGACGGTACACATAGTAGCCTCCGGGACACGCCTTGACCTCCACCGTGGTGTTCCACAGGCAGCAGTTGCCACTGAAGCTCGCACAGGCCTGCCGTTGCACAATGCCATCGTCTTCTAGCGGGTGGCTGCCATTGAGCCAGACAGGCGCGTGGGTTCCACAGTGGTTTTCTGGGATGCAGAAGGTGGGCATGGCGTCTCCTGCCATGCTCGTAAAGCGGTACCACTCCCCATCCACGTGGCTGTCACATAGAGGGGGACCTTGGGACTCATCCAATTGATGGTCAGTGTTCCTCCACGGCTCGTTCAGACTGATGTACGCGGAGCACGGATCTAGGGCTGAAAAGGACACTCAGGAGCCCGAGTGGAGCCTCTGCTCGGCGCCCACAGCGCCCTCCACCTCCTTGCTTGTGCAGTTTTGAGTTCCAAGAAAGAAATCTCAAATCTCCAAAATAGCCGCTTACCATTCTTTAAATTTAGGTCACTTAAACATTTTCGTAAACATCATTTACAAAAAAACATTTAGAAGCTGTTTAAGGTTTAGGGTTAGCATTGGACTACATTGTTAATTCGCTTGATCTTGGGGTAGAAGGGTTGCTCAAAACAAGGAGTTGGGGGAGGAGGAGTATAGCCTCACAGAACTCTGTTTTAGAGTACTGGGTTCTTAACTGCAGGCTGTATTTTAGGAAAATAACGGATACACTTGGTGTCCAGAGGAAGTTGATCAGACTAGAAAGGGGGGGCCTAAAAAGAATTTACTGGGTGGGGAAGAGAGGGAGAATAAAAGAGGAGCTAATACCAAGGGCTCAAGTAGCAAGAACATGTTTTGGAAATGATAATGGCAACATATGTACAAGTGTTAATTATTTTTATACAATTGAATTATGGGTTGTTTTAAAATCTGTAAGAGCCCTCCAATAAAATGATTACTAATAATAAAGTATTTACTGAGAAGAAGCTGAGAAACTTGGTTTGGAGTAGAGAAGACTAATTTATACACCTGTCAGTCTTACAAAAATCATCTGGAACAGAAGAAAAATGAGATCTTTTGTTACAAGAAGGTCCTAGCGCATAGCTGGCTAACCCCTGTAGGCTGGTGCCTCCAATCCACTGGCTGCTGCGTGGAGAAATGCGGTCTCCTCTGGGCTGTGGGCGCACTAGCAGTTGGGATGGGCTTCACCATGATGGGTTTGAGTTCGGAGGTTATTCTGGGTGACAAGGATAATCACAAATTGTTATGGAATTCATATTTCAACCCAGCGGTTTATCAACCGGAGAGTCTGCCTCACAGAGTGGAAATCTTTTCACCTTTGGAAGTACTCAAGTGTCTTGACATCCACTTGCAAAGAAGACAGACATTTTGCATTAGCAGGGAGTTTGCGTTGATAATGGAAAGGAAGTTCTTGGGTACAGGTCAGTTGCTTGGTCAGAAATACACAATATGGTGACAAAGATATCCCTCAAGGGAATTTGGTGGCTAGCCCACCAGCTTATTGAAACCATCAGGGAAGCTTGCATATTCATAACTAACCACAGCATCATTCTTCTGGTGATAATGCAGTGATAACATTGCTCAAGCGCTAGGTTTAGTGAAATTACATGGACAAAAAATGTCATCGGACACATTTTAAGGATGAAAGACGCAAACACCTTCAGGTTTCTCACTGTTTTGTCAACTACAGGCAAATCCTGAATTGATGTCGGTAAATTTTGCTCGTAAACTATCTATCTCTGAAGCCAAGACATTCTCGAAGGAGCCGCGGGCTCCAGAGCACTGTCTTCTGAGTCCCTGGATGTTGACTTACAAACCTGCAGGCCACAGTTGGGAGCTGGAATTGGCTTGATGGCAGTGGGTGGGGGTTGGGAGTCCGGATAGCACTCTGCTGATAGCACTGGTTCTAACCAAAAGACTGGCTCCTCAGACCCTCTAGCCATCCTCAGGAGGAAGGTGCACCCGCCTGTGCCATAAAGGTTTACAGCCTGGGAAACTTCATGGGCAATTCCACTTTGTTCTATAGGGTCTCCATGAGTGGGATCAAGTACCTGACAGTGGATTCGATTTTGTTTTATACATATTGTATTCTCAATCTGCCCAAATCTACTCTCCAAATAGGTGGGCGGGGGAACCCCACCTTAGGGTTGGGGCATTACAAAGCAGCATAGGGGTCCAAAGAAGTGCTAAGCCCAAGCACCCAACACTAAACCAGACACCCGCCCCCAACCCTCCCGGTGCGCTCCCCGCACCCCCGGAAGCCACGCCCCCAGGGATTTGGCCGGCGCCCCTTGCCCTCCCTCCTCCGCGTTTTTGCTCTCTCTCTCCCCTCTGATCTTCCTCTTCCCGTTTCCTCCCCCGGCCGCCCCCGCGCCTAAAGGCGTCCACTTCAGGCCCGAAAATTCTTGCTTCTGGCAAAGAACCGAAAGTTCTAGGAAGGCAGGAACAAATGACGGTCGGGGTGGGGTGGGGGGGTGGTCCAGGATCTGCTAGGGAAGAGTGCCGGGGAAGCGAGGGCAGGAGTCCAGGGAGCCGAGGGCGCCCGGAGGTTGGCGGTCTCCCAAGGTCAAGCGCCCCCCGGCGCGGCGCGCGTTGGAAGCACCAGGTCCCGCAGCGGAACCGCGCCGCGGGCGGCCTTGGCCCAGGGCCGCGGATGAGCCATCCAGGGACCACGTAATGGGTTTGGTTGGGGCTTAATCAGGGTTAGCGCAGGCCAATTAAAAGCCACGATTTAGTTGGGACTTCCTTTAGAGAAGTTTTAGAACATAAACCAGAGTTCAGAGTCTCCTCATACCCAGCTCCCAGGTTCCTTTTAGGATTAACACGATCTGTTAGGAGTTATTTGCTATTAGTGAATCGGTCTTAGTAGTATATAATTATGAATTAAAGCCCATAGCTTATTCAAATGACCTTGGGTTGTAACCTAATGGCTTTCTCCGATACAGTATTTCACATGGCATTCCGATTTCGTCTCCAGGAGCCCAGCGGTATAGTCGGGTGAGCCCGGTGACTTCCCCAAGGACCAGGTAGTTCAAACCCGGAAAAAGGAGGCTCTCGGTTCCCGTGAAGATTTACGGCCTTGAATACCCTATAGAGGATCAATTTCAGCGGGAATTGTTTTGATGGCATGGGATCGGTTTGGGGGTTAAGGCTCAAGCGTTTTTTTTTTTTTAACATTTTATCCATCTATACATCCAGTGTGTCAAGCTCATTTGTACATTTGTTGCCATCATCCTTCTCAAAACATCTGCTTTCTGCTTGACGCTCAAGCTTATTTTCAAATGTGTTTTCTTAAGGTGCCAGGGCAAGAGCCCAGGTTACCCTGAAGAAACACATCAGGGCCAATTAGCTACTACCAGTGTTTAGAAGGAATATTCTCTTCCTCTTACCCCCACACCCAATTAAGGTCAGTTTTATTCGGAGGAAAAGACAGAGAGGTGAGAAGTTTGTTAGGAACTGAAATGGAAACTTTTCTTCTCCTCATTGGCTAGCTTTCCATCAAAACCGAGGACTGAAATTTAAGATTCACTCAATCTGTGAGAAAAGGTCTCATTTTCTGATGTCAAAATTAAGAAGTTTGGTTTATCCAGATTTGTCCTTTTTGTGGGAACAAAACCCGTCAACTGTAAGAACCCTTTTTCGCTGCTCTAGCTGGCCTGCGCTGTGTGGCGTTCAAGGGCCTGGCACGCGCTCCAAGAAACGGGCCTGTTGGCTATGACAGATCCATGGGGATTTTAGATTCCCCCACTAGAGGCTAAATAGAACTTGGAACAGAGATTCTCTGAAAACGTAGTTTCCCAGGTTATCAGCGAATTCTTGTTAGTCTACAACCAGTGTTTAAGGCTCGGCAACCTGGCATAAAAGCAAGTTCCTGCAACAGCCCGGGCACTTGGCGGAAGACTCACCCCTTAGCAACGCTGGTGTAATCAGGCCGGAAAGGCAGGTGAGCAGCAGGAACGGTGGCATCCCCCTGGGTCTTCCAGCAGCAGCAGACTGGAGCATCCTGCTAGGAACACTCGTCCTTTGTCCCTTTCTTTTTCCTTTTGTCCCCTTCTTTTTCAAGCACTTTTTTTTTTTTTTAATGCCTCTAGGCTCTTAGGAAGAAAGACTGTATCATTACCCGTCGGGGCTTTGTCCGAGGAAGACGATGTCTCTTGCTCCGGCCCTGACACCAGATGGACGCACTGCTTTATACTGTCGACGGGGGTATTTTATTGATACCCTTCTTGAGAAAAAAAAATCACCACCCTCATCCTCCTATTGTTTTCTCTCATGAATTCCCTGCAGTGATACATCCAGTATCTTATCCAGAAGGGAATTCTAAATGAGGGACATCCTCTCATGTCACAAGCTTGTTTTGTGACTTCTGGGAGCTTGCTTCGTGATGCGGCGCCTCAGTGAGACCCTGCCCAATGCCGGGAGCAGCCATTTGGAACCACCTGATCAGATGGCCCAGCAGTTTCTAAGAGCACACACACCGAGTAGGAAAGGCCGGTGTAGTCTCTTGAAGCACACATCAGTGTACTTTATAGTGGTCTGTTGGTCTCAAAACTGCCGACAGAAACAAGACTTAATCCGTGTTCGCACCAGTTCCCGCAGGAACCGCCTGGGCTGTCATAGTGTCTTGCCCAAACTTCAGTGGTTTCATGCCACTATTTCACGGGTCCTCACACTAGATAGAGGCTGTTGTTGTGTGTCATCTAATAGCGACCTTAAAGGTCAGGGTAGAATCACCCCCATAGGATTTCGAGGTGCCTTTGGAAATCACCGGACAATTCTCTGTCTTATAGGATCACTATGAGGCCGAATAGACAACAGGCAACAAGAGGTTAATCTTTACCGGAAGCAGACTGCTACATCTTTCTCCAGCTGAGTGACTGGTGGGTTTGAACCACCATCCTTTTCTTAGTAGTTGAGCTCCTAACTGTTGTGTGACCTGGGTTCCTTAGCAAACCCATTGCTGCCAAGTCATTGTAGCTCATAGTGCCCCGTCAGAGTAGGACTGCCTTGTGGAAGATTAACAGCAGTGGTTTACAATTTGTAACTACTTATTAAATTAACCACATACTGAAAAGTAAATGGCAAAGTTTACCAACCTTCACTTTCAGACAACAGAGGGAAAATGTGATTTCCCCGACATTCTAAGATGTTGTGGGTTCCTGAGATGTAGCAAGTGCTCACATTGAAGAGAGGCACCCCGGTGCTGAAGGTCAGCAGTTTGAAGACACCAGCCGCTCCCGGGGAGAAAGAGTTGCCCATCTGCTTCCACAAAGATTTACAGCTGTGGAAACCCCCAGAGGCAGCTCTTCTATATCCTCTATGGTTGGAATTGACTCCTCCGCAAAGGGCTATACAGATGTCCCTGGATGGTGCAAACGGGTACCGCCCCCTCGTGCTAACTGAAATGTTGGAGATTTGAGCCCACCCACCCAGAGGTGCCTCCGAAGGCCTGGTGACCTATCTACTTTTGAAAAATCTGCATTGAAGACTTGATGGAGCACGTGTCTACTCTGACACACATGGGTTGGCATGACTTGAAACCCACTTGATGGCGACTAGTTAACACTGAAAATCATGCGGATGGGAGGGATAAAGGGAATGGCAGGGAAAGATAAAAGGGTTGGAAAAGACCCCTCCACCACCAGCTTTGGCTTCTAGTTCTGCACTTTCGCCCATCTTAATTTTCCCAGTCAAATTTCTAGCGATTGGAAAAGGAATTCTGTCTTAGGGAAGTACTTCTTAAATGTGCTGTAGTACATTCAAATGATCGTGGTGTCCCCTCTCCCTGTAAGGGTTTCAGTTCAATTAAGCAAATATTTGTGCTTCTGGGAGGCAGGTGCCATGCTGGTCACTGGTTTTCGACAGTGAAGCACAAAGATTTGGTCACCTCAAGCACAGTCCAGCGAAGGGCTCCCATCCTTCTCCAATGGTACTTAGCACTTCTATCACTAATAACATCGTTGGCAATTCACTACTGATCCCACTGGATGACATTGGGACTGGTGGGCTGCCTAGTTTCAGGGTTGTGCTGTTAGGGGCCAGTGTTTTGAACAGAACCCCCCACGATTTCCTGTTTCTGAGAAGCCATCTGAGCGCGGAGGACGTGTGTGTGAGAGATAACCCCAAGTTTGCTGCCAGGACTGAGTGCCGGGAGTCAAGGACTTCTCCCAGATAGCCCTTTGGCTCTGTAAACAAGCACCCCCTGTTGTTGTTTTTTCCCCCCTCTCCCCTTATCACTATTGATTTCTTTTTAGTTGACCTGCTCTTTTGTTTTAGTGTTTTAGGATGAAATATTTCAAGTAGATGCAAAAGTAGAGAAACTGACAATGAATATTTTGCCACACCAAACTGCCATTTGGGGCAATTTCATTTCATTTCTCCACCAGTACACACTTCCAGCAAATGGTTTTACACATGCAGGGTGCCATGAGTGCAACTGCACAAACTATAATCCTTGGTGGCATTTAATACCCAGTCCATATTATGACAGTCCCAAAAGTTTTTAAAATGTCAGGATTCAAATTAGATTCCGACATTGAATTTGGTTATTTTTCTTTTCCTTTTTGAGAAGTCCAGGCTGACTACCCCTTTGTGATGTCTTTTAACAGCTTCCCTCCTCCCTGTCGCCCATATTTCATGTAAACTCTTGTTCACATTTTCTAAGCTTCAAAAGTATGTGGTATTAGAATTTAAAGGCAACACTAGTCAGAGTGGAGGAATTTAATAGGTTGAAAGCAAAATTGGGGACTAGAACAATGAGGAGGTGGATAAACCAGCCTGCTGTTCAGGAGAGAGAGAGAAACACGTGAGGGCTACCAGCATAGAAGTGGCTACTTACAAGAGGGTACCCCTGCCCAAGAAAGGGATTATTTTTTCAAAGCTGTTTATTAAAAAAATTTTTTTTACGAACAACCTTATCACCTTCGAAGTACTCTCCATTACTCTTAATACATTTGTCAAATCTGCAACTCCATTCTTGGAAACATTTTTCAAATTCATCTATTTGGATGGCTGACAGCACCTCTCTCAATTTTTTTCTTCACCTCTTCTACATCATCAAATCGCTGTCCTTTCATGTTCTTCTTCATTCGTGGAAACAAGAAGTTGCATGGAGTGAGGTCAGGTGAGTCAGGTACATGGAGCAAGAGAGGCGTGCTGTTTTTTTGGCCATCAACTGGTACACAGAGATGGCTGCGTGAGCAGGGGCATTGTTATGGTGACAAAACCAATCCCAAGTCTGCTACATATCAGGCCTTTTTTGGTCACACTATTACACAATCCTTTCAACCCTCTAAATAGAAAGCCTGATTAACGGTCTGACCTGGTGGAAAGAACTCACTGAGTCAACATTTTCAACCGTTTGGGAAGTTGACAGACATCCAGAATGAGGTTTGTCATCAATCAACACTTCGCTTTTTTGAAATGAGAAAACCACTCATACACTTGAGTTTTTCCCATAGTGCTGTCCTTGTAAGCTGTGTTCAACATCACAACAGTTTCTGCAGCATTTTTCCCGAGCGAGCAGGAAACAAAATTTCACAGCCGCACGCTGTTCTCTTAAATGGGCCATCACAGAAAATGAGGTTCGAATGAAACTGCTGTTACGAAAAATTCACTGTGACCAGAGAACTTCCCAGGTGATGCCACTGGGGGCACTAACTCAGATTGAGTTGCTTGATGCACACCTAGCAGGAAAATTGTGTGCTACAAAAGTGCCACCTACCCAGTGGAGCTTTTTACTATTTTTTTTGGCGGGGGGTGATAGGGAGTCCTGAGGTCACCCAGGGGACGTGGGGCTGCTGTGAGTTGGAGTCACCAGACTTTTTTGGTTTGAAATTTGATGTGCATACCATTACACTGTCACATGCTAGGTACACTTGAGGCATGAGACACCATCTCTGATTACATTTTCCCTTCTCTGTGCCATCTTCACCCTACTCCCCAAGCCCCAGGGCCTTGTGTGATTGATCCCAGAATTCACAGGTGACACTCTGTGTTTTACTTTCCTTCTAGAACAGCTTGCTGCCCCCACCTCCAACTTCTGGTTCAGTAGGGACCAGCATTTGCCACAGACCCCAGAAGTTACTATGCTGCTGGACCCAGGATGGTACTTCGAGAACCCTTTTACTTCTGCTGGTCTTAACAGGCTGTGATTCCAAATACATGTCATTCAGGAAGATGCAGAACCGGTACCAGTGAACAGCTCAGTGGCTGTTAGGTAGGCCTGAGGGAGCGGGGAGGGAGAAGTAAGTGAAACACAGGGCATTTTAGGGTAGCGGGACTGTTCTGTATGCTACCTAATGGTGGACACGCATCATAAACATTCGCCAAAGCCAAAGCCTATCGGGGAGTACAACAGTCTGTTAGAAACCATAGACTTTAGTTAGTAATAAAAACCAAGCTTGTTACTCTTGAGTCTGACTCACATTGACCTTGTAGGGCAGTAGAAATGCCCGCTAAGGTTTCCAAGGTTCTAACCTTTACGGAAGCAGACTGCCACATCTTTCTCCTGTGGAATAGCTTGTGGGTTCCAACCACTGTCAGCAGCCAAGTACTTCACCACTATGCCACCAGGGCTCCTCTAGTTAATAATGCATTGCTATTTATCAATTGTAACACACTTAGTCCAGGAATGCCAGATGTTAATAGGAGAAATGATAGGCAGGGGAGAGGGGATTATAAAAACCCCAAACTTTCTGTACAGTTAAACCTGAGAGTGTTCTAAAGAGTAACGTCTATTCAAATACAAACAGACTAGCGCCTGCTTACCAGAAAAGAGTCTGACTCCTCTGCAGAACTGAGGACTCCCACTCAGTGATGGATTTCGTATTAGCTCTAGTAGAAACTCACCGTGCGTCACAGCTCTGTCTTTACCTTTCCTAAGAAACAAACCAAACACAATCTGCAAGGCTTAGCTGAATGCTGAGGGCCATGAGCGCACACTTCCGATCACATTGTCAGTCTTACCTTCACTTACACCTGATGAGTGAGTGTCTCAGGGCCACCTGGGGCTAGACCGCTGAAAGTGGTCAGAGGTAGGACCTCAGTGTGCAGACTCTGATGTCCTCTTACACTGCACTTAATGTAACCAGACTTTATAAGCTTTCTGATAAGCCCTTACCGATCTGGACCAAACAAAACCAAATTCATTGTCACTAAGTCTATGTCGACCGACAGGACCCTACAGTGACCCTACAGGACAAGATGGATCTGCCTCTGGCTCTGTAACTCTTTACGGGGCAAGGGAGTCTTTCCCCTTAGGAAAGGGGCTAGTGATTCAGCCCAACTCATAACCACTGTTTCCATGTTTGGAGATGATATACATTTTGTACACACTCTCAATCTCGGTCCATTCTTAGACAACTCCCTGGAGCCCGAGAAACCCCACTGGGAAACAGGTGCTCTGCTGCGAAGGGGGATGTTCCCACAGACGGGGGAGAGGAGGCTGTTAGTGTTGAGCTGCCCTGAACCCACTGATGGCTGAGTAAGTCACTGAGCTCTTTGGGGCTCTGGGAAACTATCGACCATCTTCGGTTCAGGAAGAATTAGTACAATGCCTGTTATGAAAAACGAAGCTTGATTTGAGAGTGGTATCTTTATAAAAGTAAATTCTGAAGTAAAAAGCTTCCTACCTTGAGCGACAGAAAAATACCTGTTTGTTTGTAGCTTTAACGAATGAAGTGCTTCTGTTCAAAAATTGAATAAGTATTTATTGTTCCAGAAGGTACATTGCTTTTTATACATATTTCATAAATGATACAGGATTTTACACATGTTCAGTATTTGCTATTTGTTTAAAGGGCTTTTCTCCATGAATCCTCCCTCCCTCCCACACACCCTGAAAGGATTTGCTCATTGCACTGTGCTGTGTCTTTTAAAAAACCCTGCACAAACAGGACAAAGGGTTTAAAAATAATTCATACAACTCAAAAAAAAAAGTCATGAGGGAAGGGGGCTGAGCCCCTGGGGAAGGGCAGGAAGTGGGGCCATGCACCCTTTCATTCCATCATGCCTGGTAGGGGTTGGGGGTGGGGGGTGGGCAGCAGCAATCCTGGCTGGCCTTCAACCTCTGCAGGGCACCTGGAGTCTGGGTTTGTCACTGAAAGTGTTTCTCTTCATACACAATGATCCCAAGGGTGGAAGGAAAGAGAGAGAAAACCTGGCCTTGAGGAGGGATGACTCATGTGAAAGAAAAAAGCCAATCGCCTGTCTGGCAAGCCCTGTCCCTCCTTCCCATCCCGCCCGACTGTAGTGCAAAACAGGATGGCAGATGTTGTCTGGAAATATGGTAGAAAACACTCTGAAAGAGTATAAGAGTAATTCTTCTCTCAATTAAGATAAGAAAAACAGGGTGGCGACGGTAGGCTAAAGTCAGTCCTAGAAATGCATTCCTGTAGAAAGAGAAATTGCACCCTTTGAGATCCATATACTGGATTTAAAACCACTGACAGCTGGAGGCGGGAGGGCTCACAAACAAGGAGGAAGTGTGTGTCCGAAGAGGCAGTGCCATCTGACTAGCCTGGAATGCGACCACACAAAGCAGTTAACAGCAATGAAATTATTCTGGTTCGGAAATGGCTACAGAGCCATGATTTTAGCCAATCTGTAAACCTTACATTGTCCTGATTTGAAAATACAGCTGAACACTCCCCTCCTCACCCCTGATTACAGAGTTTGGAGGGGAAAGGGGCGATCAACGAAGGGGCAGGTCAATAAAGGAGGAAAATTCTCCCTCCGTGATGAGTTAGTGAAAAACAACAAAACAATCGCATGCAGTGTCGCCAATGATTCCCAGATATTGACCCAGAGCCCTGGGACACACGGACATTTACGAAGGGACCGAGGGACAATCTGAAGTGCCACTTGTCTGCCACCAGTTAGTTTCAACTTATCATCAGGATAAAATTAGTGTAATCGAGAGGCATGGGTGGCAGAGGGCACAGTGGGAGAGATTCCTGGTAGCTTCGCAGAGGCTGGGCCCTCAAAAACCACGTGAATGAATCCAGCTCAGACTGTTGGCCACCCACAGATCAGGGGCTTACAAAAGCAGCGAGGAAGATGGAAATACAAGCCAAGGGAATTTCCCATGAACTTTTTGAAGCCTCCATGTAGCTTGTGGATCTGTTTTGTGGGAGATTTATTTACTCTTGTACCAAAAATAAGAAAAGTTAAAGGAAAGAGGAAAAACGGGTCGAGCTGAGTGGGGTGCTGGTGTGTTCTGTTCTGCGGACTCTGCGAAGGAGATGCACGAAGCAAACACCCCAGCATCACTGTCCCTGTGAGGCTCCCAACTGCGTAAATGCATCATTCTCGTCCAGAAACCGGGATACTTGATTAAGACAGTATTCACGAAGCCCTTTGAGACTTAGGTTCCACATGCCTGATCCTTAGAGTTTAGCATTCACCCCTTTTCCCCTTAAGTTCCTTGTGTTTCTTTCAATTAAAGGTACAAATTCTCCGCCCCCATGTTGCTCCCAGCTTCCACCTGCAATGCTTTAATTACAAAGGCAAGAGTTATAAACAGGTGTTCTTTCTGCCGGAACTCTAGGGCTCTTTGCAGCTCAGTCTTTTTCACCAATTTGTCGAAGGGGCAGATGCACTTGTAACGGGTCTCTCAGTCTCCTAAGGTCCATTTCTGCCTAAAATAGAAACCAAAGGTTAGAAAAAGTGATGTTTTCTGTGTGCTGAAAAAGAAATTGTCTTGCTACCATGAGTCTTAGATCATCTCAATTGTTTAAGAGGAAGAGCGCTGTAGAAGATAGATCAAAGCAAACCGAACTCTACAGGACAGGGTAGAACTACTTCTGTGGGTTTCTTGCAGAGGCTGCAACTCTTTATGGGAATCGAAAGTCTCTTCTTTCTCTTGAGGAGCAGCTGGTGGTATCAAACTGCTGGCCTTGTGATTAGCAGCCCCACTGGTAACCACTAAGCTACCTGGGTTCCTGAGGAAGCCAGGGAGGGGTCATGGGGACTTAAACTGGAAGTCTGCTCTGGCAGTTTCAGCTGTCCATAAGCCTACAGAAAAGGCAGTGCTACGAACAGGGCAGGGCTCAGGGTCCAAGGGCTTGGGGGAGTGTTTGAAACATACACCTGAGAGTTTTTGATCGGAACTCGAACTTCTATTTATATGATGTGCGGGGAGGTCAGATGTGCAGGCATTCCCCCCACTGAAGGCAATCAGTTGCCAGACTGCTATCTCATCCCTCCACAGGGGTGGGCCTGCTCCCTGCCTCTGGGGACAATGGACAGGCTCCTGTAGGGGAGTTCTCACCCTACTGATAATGGTTCCTATGGAGACCCAGAGACCATCCCCTAGACCACCCCCTCATTGCTGTGTAACCTATAGTGCAGCCCCTCCCTGTGATGTATGTCTCTACCTGTAATTAGTGGGCTGGCAGCCCCTCCCTGTATGTCTCTACCTGTAATTAGTGGGCTGGCATGCCCCCAAAAGGTATATAGGCATGGGTCAGCAAGATAGAGCTCTCGGGACTCGGACCTCTCTGACTCTCAGACCTCCTTGCTGTTCACTCCCTGGTCACTCCCCTCTCTTCCCCCTCTCCCTTGTTCCCTTGCCCTCCTTCCCTTCCCCCTCTCTCCACATGAATTGCCAAGCGGGGCTGAGGTGAGCAATGCTACCAGGAAATGTGTCTGACTCAATTTATTTCTATATATCTCTTTTATCTCTCATGCTGTCTATAACTTTAATATTTACTTATTATCGCTGTACAATTGCGCCTACCGAACCCATAGTGATTGTGCTAGGAGCTGGCTTCTTCTGGCAATACGACTTAAGATTTTAGTTACTCATCCAGTAGTTATGTAAGCTTTTCAAATTAGTCAGTGAGTTTTAAATAGGGAAGTCCACTCCGCTGCAACACTTAAAAAAACTGACATGTGCTTGAGCCTCACCCGAGGGGTTTGATTAATAGGTCTAGGCTGGGGCCAAAATATCTATATATTTAATAGTTCCAAAGAAAATTCTGGTGCTTACGATCCACTACATACAGTGACAGAAGACACAAAGTCACTTCAGCTAAGGCAGGAAGAGGAGCTAAGCTTATTCAGAGCACAACCAAAACATTCTTTAAAAAGCTTGCTAGAAACAGGGCAGATACGGTTTTTGGAGAGCCCAGATTTCTGGAAAATCTCTGGAGCCACCAAAGATTGCACAGGAGGGCTGATTCACCAACACCGGAGACAGCAGAATGTAGGGGGGGGTTCTAGAAGTTTGAAAGCAACAGTTTTTATGTAAAAGAAAAGATATCAAACTTAAAAAAAAGCATTTTCTAGGCTTCCAAACTTATTTGGCTTTTCAGGAAAAAAAATTGCTCAGTGACCTCTGGCAATTAAAAACTTTTTAATATATAAAGCCGTACTTTGAAATAAAATTTGCCTTTGGATAAAAAAACAAACAAACAAAAAACTTTTGTTCCCACAATTCAGGATAAAGGGCA